TCTTCCTTATCAAGCTCCATTTTTTCATAACTATTTAAATAATGACAAACAACTTGAATTGGACTATGTATTTCCTGGGATACCATCAATCTATTAATATTCCATATTAAATTGGGTTTATCTAAACAACTAATAAATGGAAGAGATTTGAGCAAGTGTTGATCAACACTAGAGGCTACTTCAATGTAAATGTTCGTGAATGGAAGGCTTGCTATATCTGTGTTATTTGAAACGATTTCCAAAGTTAATAATTGAAACAAAAATATATTAACTTCCCCAGGGTTATCAGCAGATATTATGTTTATATGCAGGCTGTCAAAATCTCGAATACGGAAATCCCTAAGCTGTCTTATAAGTGAGTTATAACTTGCTCCATCACTAATGGGAAAAGTTTTAGGAATTAGATGTTTTCTATAACTTTCTTGTTTAATCCATTCGGTTTTTCCTAGTCCAGATAAATCCGAAGTCACGCACGTAACTTTTGAACATAATTCGCGATAAATGGCTTTCATTGCTATCGTGCTAAGTCCATTAGAAGGGTGAACATTTTCGGAAAATTGGTCCAAAATATGATGATGCACGCCAGTTTCGGAACAACATATCAATGCTAAATAATAATCATCAATTCGTTCCATAAGAGATCTAATATTATTCACTAAATCATATTGTAATTCGAAATCCAGTGACTCTAAATTCGTAATACAGAATAAATGATTTCCGTAACCATTTTTCGGTGCAAAAAAACATCTTTTGATAAAAATTGAAAGTTCTTCTTCTGTAGTTGATGTCGTACACATCAAAAGTTGCCAAGGTTCAGGATAAGATCCGTGATTGGCATAAAATGACATTATTATATTAGGAACTTTCGATTTATCGTCGCAAGCAGCGACAAATAATTCTCCGCGTTTCACAACATCTGAAATTATGCGTTCCCCAGAATCTTTTATTGCCCGTGGTTGTTTTTGAAGGGTTCCAAATATATTTTCCAATCTTTCACCAATCTCTTTTAAAATAAGATAATAATCTCCTTTTCTACAACTAAATCCTTTACTTTTTAGGTGACTTGGTAACTTTGCTTTTTTATTGACAAATGCTACAAGTGTATAACAAGTTCTTGTGATCTCATATTGTCTACCGGTTTTCAAGTAGTAATCAAAAAATGCTAATATATGCCTTGCTGGATAAAAAGTTAGATAATAAAAATTTTCTTGTGCTCGATTAACCAAATCTACCCTATAAGTATAATCGATATTAATAACGACTATTAAATGAAAAAAGAGCAATGAACAAATAATCATGCTCACCAGAGATCCAATTCTTTTTTTAGTCTATCTGCTACTTTCTCTAATTGTTTGGTACTTTTAGCTACTTCATTAAATTTTCGAAATCCAAAATGACCTAATTGAGTTAACTTTTTCATTGTATTAATTATATTTTGAGCAAAATCAACTTGCGTTACAAATTCATCCATTTTGTTCTTGACATCATCAACTTGTCCATAAGAGCCACCAGGCTTTGAAATTAAAAGCGCTCTGCCACGTAAATCTTGTAACTCATTTATACCGTACACCATCGTTTCTGATTTAGAAACATATGACAATGTCAAAATACACTCCTCATTTTTTTCCTCTTTAACGAATTCATATGTACCAATTTTTACAGCATTTTGGATCTTTTCCTTTGTAACTTCACCACGATTAGATATGGTATTATACATATTTTGCAAAGCCATATTGTTACTATTACATAATGTTAATTTACTCGTTGATGAAGGATTTTGGTTAACAATTTCATTTAATTCTTTCACAAATGTGTCCAAAGTTAAATTTGCTTTAGTCATTAATGGATTCAAAAATTGCTTAACTTGAATAAGTGAAGAAACAGTATCTTCTTGAATCAATCTTGTATCTGAGTGTTCGTCGACACCATTAATCAAATTTTTCATGTCATGTTCTGCTATTGTTTTTAAAAATCCAATAAATTCTTCAGATCCAGACAATTCCTTAATAAGTGCCCAAATATTATGATTGAATTTGGAAAATTTTTCATCTAAATCTTCAAAGGAAATACTTAATGTACTTAAATTTAAATCATGATCCCTCAAACTTGAAATCTCAATTCCAAGCCAGTCATGAGACACTTCGAAAATCTCAAGTACAGTTGATAAATATTCTAAACGTTCAATCCAAACTTTAACTTCGGAAAGATACCTGATCGTTCTCATGAATTTCTCACTTTTATCAATTTTGCCAAACCTATTCATTAACTTTAGTTCATCATCGAAATTAGAAACATTGCGCCAAAATGAAATGGCCTTGGAATATCTTAATTTCCCCCAATTTTCGTATTGCTTACATATATCCATATAATCACTTATAATACCCTGCATTAACTTGTTTGCTATAAATTCAACTCCCATCACTTCATTTGATTCACAAAGGTTAAACTGTTTCTCAAAAACATTATAAAATGTTCGAGAATTGTTGAATGGATCTGTAACATCTGCTATTGACATGATTCCTTTGTGAAAATTCCAATGGTCTTCTGATAAAGATTCTTTTAGTGAAACGTGACCCAAATTTTTGCTTCGCTCTCTTAATTCATCAAGGTAATCTTGCACATCATTGGCTTTATGTGATGGACAAAATCTTTTATAAAAATTGTCAAGTTTTTTCAATCTTTTTTCATAAAGTTGACAATCCTGACGAACTTTAGCCAATGTTTCTACAGTAATTATTTCTTTATCAAATTTTCTGATAAAATTTGCAGAATTTAAATAATAATGAAGTTCATCATCGTTATATTTTTTAAGTAAATCCTGAAGAAGAAGAAGATCGATTGAACTATCATTTATCATAGTAGTTAACTCGAGAATGGCTTTTCCAGCTTCTTGTATCAATAGGTGAGAATGAAATTTTTCAGTATTTCCGGTTGCTCGAAAGATTACAATCCAGAAGTTAGCAGACTCAAGTAAAATTTGATTGGAGGTTAATTCTGAAAAATTCGAAGATCTTTTTTGCAAGCATGACATTATATGAAGCAAAATTGTTTCACACAACCTAAATATAAGAAAAGATATGTGAATATATAAATATTATTAATATATGTATATATGATTTTATATATATACATATATAAGTTAAAATATAAAATTAATCACGTACTCATTGGGAATCTCTAAATTGTTACCACAACCACAAACAGTTCTCATTTTCTTTAGTAATAATTCATCATAGTCCAATCTCATTAGATCAATCTTTTCTTTAATAATTTTCGTAAATACGAGGCGCACTACTTGGCCAAACTTTGCAACTCCAGTTGTAGCAGAAAAAATGTTTCTTTCTACACATTTTTTAATTCGATCGAACGTTAAAGACATTAATTTATCCAAGATGATTTGATCATTAAGTAATGAACCGATCATGGACAATTTCTCAAAGACCGAGATTATGAATTCTACTTCACGAGGTGCTGTACTGGATGATGTTATAAGAGCCATGCTTTTAATAAGGTTTTTATACCATTGAACACAAATTTGAATTATTTTCTCATCTTTGGTATCTTTGAATTTATCAATCCAATTTTTAAACAATAATGGAAACACGCTTAATAGCTGATATTCTTCTAAGTTTGACAATGTTTCCAATACGATAATATATTCATCTTTTGTCCAACGTAAATGTGCGGAATTTATAAGAAAAAAAAGAGATTCGGAACGAGATCCTTTCCAAATAGAATTACGGCTATTGGTTAATAATTGAAGAGTTCTTTCTCTAAATGGTGCAGCGACTAAACTTCCAATTGCCTCGGGAAGCTCGCTAAAATTTTTGTGCAAATCAACGAGATCATCCTTAGATATATATTTTTCAATTCTTCCTACAAAATATGGCTGAATCTGCTTGTCAAGCTTATCAGAATGATTAATAGATTGCCAAATGGTTGAAAACATTTTCATTTTGTTGCACTGGTCAATCAACCACTATATAGTTAATATTGAAAAAAAAACAAGTTAATTGATATGATGGACTTTAATAAACAAAACCAGATAAAAGTACCTTAATAATTCTCTCATAAGTATTTTCATTAAATTTATTTTTCAATATATTTTCGAAACAACTTTCGATATACTTTTCATCACACTTAACAAGGGATATCGTTTCCATAAACTTATACTGTGGGTCGATCAACGGCGCCAAGGTAAAGATAGGGAGCCAGTCGTGTAATCCATTATCAATATTGTGATGAATTAAATAGTCAATCCCTTTTAATACGATACGCATATCATCAGATGGGAATGAGTTTGATTGAACTTTGAAAGCAGTTTTAAGAAAAGCAGTTGAATTAAAATCTTTTGAAAATTCAAATTTTCCAGTAATATTAGGACGACAATGTCCTAAAAGAAAACATAGAAAATGTTGTTTAGCAATACTCTTATCCACCGCATGCTCGCTAATAAATTTAATATTCGTTTCGGCTAATGTTAATTCGTGATGCTGTTTTAAAATACTGTCATATTCTAAAATTTTTTCCTTGAAATTTTCTAAATTTACTGAATCATAAATGACTTTCAAGAACATATAATCCGTGACTCGTCCATTGAAATCAGCGTTATTTTTCCAAATATCAAATTGGTTTTGACATTGAAATTCTAGCACACGATCGTCCTTATTGTCTTTCCCTTCATAATATAAACGCGTGTCGGTTCTTTTACCATTTTTTCTAGATTCAAATACTGCATACTTATATCTAACAATATTTTGAAACCTTACCATTGGGATACGAACAGGGTTCGAATACCAATAAGAAGTGGCTATACGACGTTGAGGAAAAAAACCTCGCCTTTGTTGATTATGTTGATTAAGTTGCACTTTATGTTCATTCCAATTGCCAAGTTCTTTGATATTACCGAGTACAACAAGTTTCCCAGTAATTGCCTTAGGTAAATGCAAATGAAATACGATGTCAACAAATTTATTCTCAACTTGTTCTCGTTTTTCAACAACATTACCCTTAGCTTGCTTATCATTAGTTTGATCTCGTTTTTCAACATCTTTAACCTTAGCTTGCTTATTAGTTTGATCTCGTTTTTCAACATCTTTGCCCTTAACTTGCTTATCATCAATTTGTTCTCGTTTTTCAACTTCTTTACCTTGAGCTTGCTTATCATCAATTTGTTCTCGTTTTTCAACAAATTCACCCTTGGCTTGCATATCATCAGCTTGTCTTTTTTGTTTATTAAGTTTCTTCCTTTGCGATTTAGATAGTGGTGGCTCGTTGTTTGAGCTGACATCTGAATATCCCGTACGAGCTTCATTACTTAGATTCGGTTTAATCTGGATCGATTCAGTTGTTGATTCAGTAAGTCGTCCTTTATTTAAAGATTTATTTTCATTCTTAAATTTCTCTCCAAGATTTTCATTTGAATCATTAATAATGTTTCCTTGTTCTGAAAAAGTGCTCTTGTTCTTGCTCTTATATTGAACATTTGATTTCTCGGTGCTGTTATATGATTCGTCACGAGATTGACGAGGTTGGTTAGGGTAAACAGTTGACGCGGAAGTAGCATTATTGTAAACCAAATAACTTCCTTCGGCTTTTTCTTCATTGTAAACAAATTTATCTTCATCGACTGGTTTTTCGTCATCGTAATCAAATTTAACACCAGTTGAATCTTTACTACTGTAAACAAACTTATCTTCGGATTTTTTATCTTGTTCACTAAGCCTATCTTTGGATTGCTCATCACCGTAACTAAACTCAGTACTCTCATAACCATAGTTATAATCATCTTCTTCGGTTTTCTCGTCATCATATTTAAACATGGTTTTCTCATCGCTATAAATAAACTTATCTTCTTCAGGTTTCTTGTAAATAAACACGGTTTCCTCGTCATCATTAATAAACTTTGTTTTCTTATAATCGTTTATAAATTCATCATCTTCGGTTTTCTCATCTTCGTAGATAAACTTAGTTTTCTTATCATCATCGTATATAAACTTAGTTTGCTCAAACTCATCATCAATTTTTTCATCACTATAAACAAATTTTACTTCGGTTTTTGAACCAGAAATTGGATTAGGTGGTTCACCTTCCTCATCGTTAGATTTTTTTTTGTTCTTACGACTAAATGGTTTATCGATATTAAGTTCCATTGAGACTAACGTGATAAATTCACTTTAATGATATAATGAAACTCAAATCGAAAACTCAAGTAAAAGATTCTTTTATGGCCTGATAACAAAAGATTATCAAACAAAATCTAAAATAGTTATTGTTTCCCCAAAAAGGGGATTACGTTATTCTTTTTAGAAATACTTGAATGTTATCTGATTTACTCCCAGATTTTCCGGATTGTGGCTTCCATTTTGTACAAATTTCGCAGCCCATGTATAAATTAAATTTTTTTAAAGTACTCATCACATGATATTTCAATCAGGGTCTCTAAATCCGGGGTCTGTTTTAAATTTATATTACCGTAGTGGGCGCTCTATAGCGTTAAATTTTTTCCGATGTATGAAACCTTACATTCTAATGCGTTCCAAAGCATTATGCGTCTTTACGGTAATTCTTTATCGTTATATACTGTATATACCTATTATACAATTCTTATTGTTATTAATATTTTTTTTTTTGTATTAAATCATAAATTATAAAGTTTTAAAAAATACATCTTTGCTTTTAATAATAATAATATTTATTTCATTTTTTTTAAAAAATAATTATACATATATTAAAATAATATTTTTATACTATTTTTAGTTTAGAATTTATAATATAAATATATTATTTTTTTATTATTTTTATTATAATAATAATACGGAGGAATTCTAAGAAAATCCGGATCCTGATTTTCCTAGCAATCAATCCATATAAAAAAAATGGTTTTTTAATATTATTAAAATTATACTTATCATAAAACCAATAGAAAATATCAGTTTGGTAAATCTCATTAGGGAATTATATAAAACTTTTATTAAAATATTTGAAAAGAAATTAAATTATCATTTAAATATAACTAAAATTTAAATAAGTAATTTATTAATTAATATTTTATTTTTAATATAATCTCTAATAGAATTAAAAGAAAACTTATTTTTTTATACAGTTTATAATTATAAAAAAAATGTAAAGATTATAAATATTATAAATTCTATAAAAAAAAATATATATATATTAATAACTTTTTCTTTTTGCTAAAATATCAAGTTTATGTGTAGAATTTAATAATAAGATTTTAAGATATATATAATATTAATATTTTAAATAGTTTAGGTA